CGTTTGCCAGATTGGGCCTGCCAGATTGGCGCCAGATTGGCTTCGACCACCCAGGCTCTCTCCGCAGTCCCGCCCCCGCCGCCGCGAGTGACCAAAAGCAGGCGCAGGGGGACGAATGGAGAATCAGTTCCCGCGCGACGGCGGAGAAACGTGAGGGGAGCGGACGATGCAACAGGCAATTTCCAGCGGCTGAATTCTGATAGTCTGCCCCACTCATTCCTTTGGGGCCCCTCCCGGAGGGAGGGCTTCATCGCTTGCCCCCATTGGGCAGCCCCGAGCGGTTATTTCTTTGGGCCGTCTCGGGACCCTCTTGGCCATGGGACTGGTGAAGCTGAGAAGTTCTTGGAGCAAGGGGAGGATCCCAGCCACGATGGGAGACTGCATTCGAAGAAGAAAAATCGCCATAAACATAGACTTTTGGCGCTCCGCGCCAAAAGTTTATGTTTATGGCGATTGGGCCCTGACCATCGCGTTGGGCCCCCGGCGCCGCCTCTGGCGCGCTCCGCGCGCCAGGGAGGGGGGTCCAACACAGATCCAAGAAATCCTCGCGGAGCGCCAGAAGCTTATGTTTACAGCGCTTTTCCTTCTTCTAAGAACGGGACAGTTATGGGTGGGGATGAGGATGGGGATGGTGGTGAGCACGAGGGTGGGGTGAAAACAAGCATCAGGATAGGGATGTGGATGAGGATGGGGCTCGGAGGACCCCGAGGGGCTCCTAGACGGCTTCGAGGGGGCCTCAAGAGGGCCCCAGAGATATGCCACGGCCGTGGCTTAAGTCGGGCCTGTCCCTCTACAGGAGGAGTATGCAAAAGTAGTTATCAAACATAGTTTGGGGACGATTTTTGACTGCTCTGGACAATGTTGGAATATGTTTTAAGTTGTTGTTCAATTTTCGTTCAGAATCCGCTTGAAGGGAGGACATGCCCGACCTAAGCCGTGGCACATCTTTGGGATGGTCTTGAACCATCTTTGAGGCCTCTGGGGGTGGTGGTCGCAGGGTCAGCCACCAGCATCCGCCGCACGAGGTAGGGGCAGTCAGTGCAGTCCTCCCAGGGCCAACTGATGCCTGGCCCTGCCTCATGGGACGGGTGAGGGGTGATGGCCCTACGACGCAAGGCAAATGTTGAAGAGTAAGATGAGGAGGCCAGTTTAGACCCAAGGCCCATCAGCGTTGTTGCAATAACCCCCCCCGCCTAGCTCCGTATTCATAGGCTCCTGTCTGCGGGGAGAGTTCCCCCGATAGAAGACAACCGTCTGAAACATGTTCAGCCGTGCTAGAGCACGACGCCTGGGACTTCAACGCCGCGAATCAATGTTACTGTTGCGACCTGACGATCCTAAACCGTGCCAGAGCACCATTTTTGGGACTTCAACACCGCGAATCAACATGATTGTCGCGACCTGACAGCCCTAATCACTATTCCTAGCATTACATGAAAATGTCCGAACCTACTGTAAGCTGTTGAGACGAATGTGCGCGGCGTTGTGGAGAGAACCGCAGTTTGAAAAGGAACAGCCCTCCATCCGTGAAGCTCTTCCAAACTTTGAAGACGAATGCGCGCGGAACCAAGGCGAGAGCCACATTTTGAAAACGACCACCCTCCATCCGTGAAGCTGTTGCACACTCTGAACACGAATGTTCGCGGCGTGAAGGCGACGGCCACTTTTTGAAAACCGCCCGCCCTCCATCCGTGAAGCTCTTACACACTTTCCAAGCGGATGCACGCGGCACTGAGGCGAGAGCCACATTTTGACGACGGCCCGCCCTCCATCCTTGAAGCTGCTGCAAGTTTCAAGCCTCAGGATCATATATTGTCAGGAAGTGTCAGGCGAAACGCCCGGATCGCCATGCTGATCCGTCTCGAGGTGCGACAGGGAGGAGCTATATATTTGGGAAAGGAAAGGAGGAACCCGAGGAGTGGGAGGAGGAGGAGGAGGAGGAGGAGGACTACCACGAGGAGGAGGACGAGGGGGAGGAGTAATAGGCTATGACGAGAAAGAGGATCTCGCGGAAAACGAGGACTCGCCTGCGGGAGCCCAAGGCTGGCGACTTCGTCCAGCGAAGAGGAAGACCCAGGCTGAGAAGGAGCGTCAATGCACAACACATACTACCTTGTCTCCCCATCTCCTCCATCCCCCTTTACCTCCCCTTCATATATATCCTTCTTCCCTCTCTCCGCCACCTCTCCCCTCTTTCCATTCTAGACTTATCTTGGCCCTCACGCGCAGGAGAAGGCTGGAAAGGGCAGGAAGAGGGGGTGGGGGAGAGGGAGGGGGAGGAGAAGGGAGCAAGGACGGCGGAGGAAGGAGTGGAGGAAGGGAGGACGGGGGGATGAGGGACGAGTCGGACTGGGCTTTACACATCTGGGGCAGGTGTCATCGCTAAGATCCTGGGTATAGAGCCTCTGGAGGCCGAGAATACGGAAAAGCATCCCTTTATGATTTTTCATTGCCGGGGATTTTGATCCGGAGGGGACAGAGCAGAGACACAAATGCTCGACGGTGCTCCGGGAGAGATGGAACATAGGGGAAGGGGATCGGAGAGGGAGACGAAAGTCAAGAGGACACTGAGGAGGGATGGGGGATCCTGGAGTCCCTGTGTGCGTGTGTGTGAGTGTTGAGCCGCGTGGCCCCGGGCCCCGTCCACTGGAGGGCCGCAGGAGGGGGGCCCCCCGGAAGGACCCTGACTAGAGTGAAGTCGGGCCTGTCCCCCTACAGGGGGATTTTCGACGAAAAATAAGAAATACTCCTTAAAAATTGCCGAAAAATAGCAAAAACATAGTCTGAGGACGATTTTTGCGGTATTTTTTGATATTGTTGGGGCATTTTTGGGGTATTTGTTTTTTGGCGAAAATCCCCCTGTAGGGGGACACGCCCGACTTGAAACTAGAGTTAAGTCGGGCCTGTCCCTCTACAGGAGGGGTATTCAAGAATAGCGAAAACATGCTCTGGGGACGGTTTTCCGACCATTGTTGGCAATGCTTGCACACTTCTGGACCCTTTTTAAAATGTTTTTCGTCCCAGATCCGCCTGTAGGAGGACACGCCCGACCGAACCCTGACCAGGGAGGCCTCCCTGTCCCCGAGGGCCCCCCGAGGGTCCGCGAGCGGCGCCCCTTCGGGGCTCGGGTGGTGTGCGCTTGTGCTCGGTGAGGACCACCGAGCCCGGGCCTCGCGCCGCGCAAAGACATCACGGCGGGAGGCTTTCCCGAGGCGGGAATCTATCCATATCTCTCACCAGCCTCGAACGTATCCCTATCCCTAAGATTGACACGCCACAAGGAGATGACAATCTTAGAGATGCACCCTCAGAAACGGAGGACATCCCTAAGATCGTCATCGTGGTGAGGCGATGCCCAACATAGGGACAGGGAGATGTTCCAGGCTGGCAAATATCCACCGCCTGGATGGTCAGTTTTCGGAGCCTCCGCAGGCGGCGGATTGTAGTGCCACCCGTGTTCTATTGATCCCTGCTTTGAAAGGGATTCAGGGGCATGGTGTGCGCAGTATTGTGCAACAAAGAGGTTGCATTTGAGACGCGTCTTTTTCCTCATCTGTGGTGTCATTTTGCTTTGGGAAACGAAGACAACGAATCTCGTGCAGATCCAAAAAACAAATATTCGGGCCCCCGGGGGCTGAAAGATGTCCACATCCACCGCCCGCTGGGGCACCAGGACGTCGGCTCCACGGCGGTGGCTTTGGATAAGTCCCCGCGGGCATCGGGACCGGCAAACAACGACTCGGGATGAGAAACCGGTCCCGGGGAAGGGGTCCAGACCTCTGGGGGTCGACGCTGTGAAAACAATCTCATGACGTCGGGGGTCTGGGAAGAGCATCCTGGACCATCGAGCAGCAACAAAAAGCACGCGCGAAACCGAACCTTGCACGCGTCGCGGGAAATGGGCGTCCGAGCGACGGCAAGGCCCTTGGGGTCATTCAGAGTGCCAGGTCTTGCAGGATCTTGCAGAACCAGGGGTGCATTAAACGGGGCTTGCGTGCAGGATCCTGCAGGATCCTGCAGAGCCCGACTGACCCAGGTTTGGATTGACCCGGGTCAGTGGATCCCCGACACCTTTCTCCCTCCCCATGGCCTTCCCCACATGGAGCAACGCCATTCGGGCATCGTGGCGGATGCTCTGGATCGGCGGTGGAATCCGATCCCTAATTGCCCTCGCCGGTCAACGATTCAGTCAACTCGATGGGCGGCGGGGGTAGGTGGCGAAATCCAGCCCTACCCCCTACCCCACACCTCCCAGCGGTTCAGGAGATTCGATGGCTCGTGGGGGTATCGGCGGCGAGCGAGGCGGGAAGTGAGAAGGAAAAGGCTTTCTCAGAAGGCTTGGCAGTCCACCAGCCGTCTGAGAAGTTCCCTAAGTCTTCCCCGAAGACATCGAAGAAGACATCGAAGACTTCTCAAAGGCGCAAGGGCTTCTGAAAAGCCCCGCCGCCGTCTGAGAGGGCCTTCTCCTAGTCACGTCCCCCCCTCGCTCGCCGCCGAGGGTAGGGCTCGGGTGTCGCCACCCGTTGGGGGCCAAATCTCAGCCTCCCCGGAAGCGTCGTGAGGGCCCCTGTGGGCCAGGGCCACTGCGAGCGGCTTGAATGAAGAACATTTGCTCTTCCAATGGGGCTCGTTCGTTCGTTAGGTTCGCATGCGTTATGTATCGCTGCTCATGCGTTCTGTATCATTTATCGCTCCTTCTGCGTTACTCCTTGACAAAAAACAGGGGCCTCGTTCCTTATCCATCGTTCCCCAGGTCAGGCCGATGACTGTGTTCGACTGCGCGTAAGAGCGAGACCCCTCGCCAGAGGGACCCTCGGGAGCGGGCTCCTCGGGAGCGCGGTGCGGTAGCGGCGGCTTGCGCGCTTGGATTGGGCCACCTTGCGCCCTCCTCCGCCTCCTCCTCCTCCTTTCCTCCTCCTCCTCCTCCTTTCCTCCTCCTCCCCCTCCTCCTTTCCTCCTCCTCCCCCTCCTCCTTTCCTCCTCCTCCCCCTCCTCCTTTCCTCCTCCTCCTCCTCCTCCTCCTCCTCCTCCTCCTTCTCCCTTGTAGTCCGCCCACCGACGAGTTCGCTCACTGGGCCTCCCCGGCGAGCGTGGCCGATCCCGGCATCGGGCCCGCCGCCCCGGCGGCCTCGGCGCGGACCAGAGCCGCGCGCAGGCAAAAGGAGGCAGGCTCTCGCGCACGCGGGCGCCTCCACCCGTGCTCCTCCTCCTCCCCCGCCTCGCGCTCCCCTGCTCCTCGGGCGCCCTCTGCCTCCAGTCCTCCTCGGCCCCCCTGCTTTCGCCCGCTGTCATCCTCGTCCTCGGGATCCCTCGTCCTGTCTTCGAGGAGGGCGCAGAAGACTTCTCAGGAGGCCCCGCCGCCGTCTGAGAAGGCCTTGTGCTGTCTCACTTCCCCCCCTCGCTCGCCGCCGAGTTCTTCTGTCCAAGGTCCGGCCGCAAGCAACTCCCAAGCCCTCGGGGCTCAAGAGACGGGGGTCAACGCAAGCGGGGGTCAGTCGGAGCGCCGAATCTTGCTGGATTCTGCAGGGCCAGGGTCGCATTGTCTTGGGCTTGGGCGCAGGATCCTGCAGGACCTTGAAGGACCCTGCAAGGCCTGACTGACCCTGGTTTGGATTGACCCTGGTCAGAAGATCCCCGAAGCCCCCCGGCGCGCACGCGCACGCACGCGCGATGTCTCGTCGCGGTGGCGAGCGAGAGTGGAAAGTGAGAAGGAGAAGTCCTATATAGGTCCTGGTCCTCGCTCGCAGTCGAGTTCTTCTGTCCCATAGGTCCTGCCGCAAGAAACTCCCACGCCCCCCTGGCGTTAGGTCGGGCGCGTCCCCCCCTACAGGCCGACTTTGGACGACAAATAGAAAAGAACCAAATCGGATTTTAACATTGCCAGACAAGTCATAGAAACATCGACCCCAGACGATTATGTTTATGACTATTTTGGAACTGTCGCACTGGCTCGTCTTCCCCATCCTGTCCGCTCCCTGGACATCGCGGGTCTGAATGCAGCGTGCATCGTAGAGCAATGTTCGTTGATACTCGATGCAAACCAATTGGCGCGCCCAGCCGGAATCGGCTGCGCGGGCCGCATCAGAACTCGTCGCGCGGGCGGCGCTTGCGGATGTCCAACCCCTTGGTCTCCATCACGGTTTGCATCAGCGAACCCGCGTCCTCCAGCACCGCGGCCCCGCGCGCGCGCCGGCGGACTTCTCCGCCCTTGCGGCCGCCTGGCGCCCCAGCACGCGCTGCAGCATCCAGGAGGCCTGTACCAACATTGCAGTCGCCGCTTCCTCCTCCTCCTCCTCCTCCTCCTCATCTTCCTCCTCCTCCTCCTCCTCCTCCTCCTCCATCGCCTTCTCCTTCTCCTTCTTTTCCTCCTCCTCCTCCTCCTCCTCCTCCTCCTCCTCCTCGTGGCTCCTCGGGCCCCTTCCCGCCAGCTCCCTCCTGCGCCGTCTCCTCCTGTCTCGCTTCGCCCACCTGGCGGGCCTCTTCAAGGCTCCCTATGCGCTCCACTGTCCAATCCTCATTGTCTCGTCCTCGTCCACCTCCTCCTCCTCCTCCTCGCCCTCCTCCTCCTCCTCCTCCTCCTCCTCCTCCTCCTCGACGCTCGTCACGCGTTGCCTCCTGCTTCCTTCTGGGGCCACCTCGTCGCCGCCGTCATGGCCGCCTCCTCTGGGCTTCCTCTGCGCCTCTTTGCTGCCTCCTCACGGTCCCGTCGTCGCTCTGCTGCCGCTGCTCCTCCTCCTCCTCCTCCTCCTCCTCCTCCTCCTCCTCCTCCCTCCTCCTCCCCTCCCTCCTCCTCCTCCTCCCTCTCCTCCTCCTCCTCCTCCTCCTCCTCCTCCTCCTCCTCCTCCTCCTCCTCCTCCTCCTCCTCCTCCTTCTCCTCCTCCTCCTCTTGGTCGCCCTCCTTCGCCTCGTCGTCCTCGGCGCCCGCCGCCTGTCCCCGCGCCTCGCGCGACGGCCGCCGCCGCCGCCTGCGCCGCCGCCGCCGCCGCAGCCGGGCGGGCCGGGGTCGCCCCTGGCCGCGGCCGCTGCAGCCGCTGCAGGAGGGCCCGCTGCAGCCGCTGCAGGATGGCCCAGCGATTCTCCATCTCCCTTGAGGGAGATGGAGAGCCGCTGGGCCATCCTGTCCGCCGCGCTGGCAGTCTCGCCCCCGTGCGCGTCGGCCGCGCGCTTGGCCAGCGCGGCGAAGGCGCGGCGCGCCTCGCCGCCCCAGCTCCCGCCGCGCGCCTCTGCCACCATCGGGATGAAAATGAGGTCCGCGTCGCGGCAGGCCTGCGCCGTGCCCTGGCGCTGGCGCTTGTGCTCCTCGTGCCTGTCGAAGGCGTCGGCTGCGTCGGCGGCGGGGCGCGCGAGAAGGTCCGCGCGCAGGCCAGACGTCACCGCGAAACCCAGGGCGGCCGAGAGCCCGCCGCGCCATCGCGGGACATGGACATCCGCTGGCTGGCGGCCGTCGTTGTCTAGTCCGTCGCCGTCCGGCCCCTCGGCGTTCGGCCATTCGCCCAGTGCCCGCGGCGGCAGCAGTTCGGGGCGTTTGTATAGAGGGACATGCCCGACTTAATCCTGGCGCGCACGCGCTAGGAAGCCGAGCCCCGGCGGTCGGGTCCGCCCCCCACACAGGGGGCCACAGGCGCGGCCTGCGGCCGTTCACCGGCAGGCAGGCCCAGCAAAACGCGCCCTGCGCGGCGGCGCGGCGGCGCGGCGGCGCGGGCGCTCCAGGCGGGGCGGCCTCCCCAGACATGATTCAGCCACGCGCAGAGGGGGGTATGGGGGAGGGGAGAAGGCTTCTTAGAAACACCCCGGCTTCTTAAAAGGCGCGGGCCTTACCTGTAAGTGTAATGATGGCACCTTCTAAGAAGCAGCCTCCTTCTAAAAAACCCTTCCCCTTCCCCCTGCCCTCCTGTGCGCGCCGCCAAATGATCACACACACACGACACACGAAACCGCACCTTCACTTGATGTTCCAACCCATTTTAGCTCTGATCGCCAGAGAAATATTTCGAGCACCAGGAAGGTACCGAACCTCGAAGGTTTTCACGTGTCGGGCCCTGGGAGGCGACACCCGTTCGACACTGTTTCGATATTTTCCGGCTGCTCGAAATTATTTCCGGGATGTGGACCTTAAGTATGATGGGAGCAACAGAAACAAACTTAAACGGCGCAGTGGCACGGAATAGCTACGAACTCGCACGTGGGTAGAATCCAAAAACAAAAATCCGGGCGGCAGGTTTTTGGCTATTTTCGGCCTCGGAGGGGCCTTCGCTGGGCCTCGGGGCCGTCCGAAAACGACTTAGGATGAAAAGCTGGTCCCGGGGAAAGGGTCGGGACTTCCAGGGGCCCCGTGTTGACAAAATCTGAACGTCGCATGTCTGGGTCCTGCCACCCCCAGAACCCCATCGAGCCATTACCAAAATCACGACAACGGGGGGCTTCTCCCTAGCTTCTGCCTTTGGAGGCCCTTGGGGCCAGGCCCCAGGGTTGTCAGAGAAACCGCCCGGGATGGGAAGCCCGTCCAGGGGGATGGGTCGAGACCGCTGGGGTCGACGTTGTGCAACAAATCTCCTCGTCTTCCTCCTCCTCCTTCTCCTCCTTCTCCTCCTCCCTCCTCCTCCTCCTCCTCCTCCTCCTCCTCCTCCTCCTCCTCCGCCTCCTCCTCCTCCTTTTCCTCCTCCTCATCCTCCTCCTCCTCCTCCTCCTCCTGATCCTCCTCCTCCTCCTCCTTACCCTCCTCCTCCGCCTCCTCCTCCTGACCCTCCTCCTCCGCCTCCTCCTCCTCCTGACCCTCCTCCTCCTCCTTCTCCTCCTCATCTCATGCCGTCGGGGGTCTTGGACCTCTGCCTCGTCTTCGCCCTGCCGGGCCTCCAGGCAGACTTTCCTCGCAGCTGCGGGGGCTCGCCTCGAGATGCTGGCTGCATGGCGTGCCCTGGGAGAGGCCGGGGGGGCAGCGGTGCATCGCATCCTCGTGCCGTCGCTCACGGCGTCCCCCCCCGGGGCCTGTGGGCGGGGGCCCCAAGATCCTTGCGGCTCATTTTTTTCCCGAGCCAGGGCGTTTTCGTTGCTTCTCGGGCCGTGGGACCCTCACGGACCGAGCCGCTTCGAAGAATGCCGCAGAACGATTGGGTCTAGGAATCCGGGCGCGATTCTTCACGGCGCCTCAATTTTTTGAGACGTCGGATCTTAGGGGTTCGACTGCACGTAATCAAGGGCAGAAAAAAAAACGCCCCTACCCTGGTTTACGAGGCGCTGTGCGCTGAAACTCCTGTGGGCTGACGGGGTAAACCCTGCGTGATGTGCCGCGTCCTGGCGGCTCTAGGCTTTGGGGGTTTCCAGGAGGTTTACAGAACGCGCACTTGTAACCCAGGGTAGGGTCGTTTTTTCATCCCTCAACGTAAGTCTAAGCCTTCGCCGGAGTGATCTTCGGTGCGGGCTCATCCCCCCCCCCCCCCGATCGCCGAGCGCGACGAGCTACTTGGCAGCGGCCTGCGCGCCTGTGTGCTCTGGCCCCCCCGCGGCTCCCCCAAGAAGCCGCGCACCAAAGACCACTCTCACGCAGCGGTCTCTCCTGCGTGTAGCCGAGTGGTGCTGCTTACGGTTCCCCGAACTTTTGGACAATCTTTTACGATGTTCGACTATGTTTGAGTATGTTTGATTTCTGGATTATTTAAGAAGCCAGGCGATCGCAAACATGGGTCAAGGGGGCGTGCACTAGCAGCGGGTCCCGTCTCCGTGGGACATCGGAGATTTCCGCCGCCGAGCGAGGCGGCACTGGCGGCATGTTGGGGAGGGCACCTCCCCCGATCCATGGATTTGGCGACCGCACGCCAGATCCGTGGCTCGCTGATCCATGTTTGCGCGCCCTCGACCTCCGTGGAACGACCACGAGGCGCCCCCCCCCCTCCCCATCTGGAGGGCAGGAGTCCGACTCGATGCGGCGCGATCCTCCGACCTGGCCTTCGACCCCCTCGCGTGGTTGAAGAAGTCACGACGGGAGGCTTCCTCGTTGATTTCGGCCTCTGGCGGGCCCCGGGACCGTCCACAAACACACCGGTCCCGGGGAATGGGTTTACAGTCGGGGCCCCGAAGAAGGAACCCTTTTCGTTGGAGAGGGGCTCGGCGTTCCTTGATTGTTCTGCAGTTTGTCCTCAGTTTTCCTCAGGTTTTCCATGGGAAGTCGAAGTTCAACGTATGGGAGAAAGGGGCCCCGTTCCTCATTTAGGGTTCCTTAGGTCAACGCCGCGGCTGTACACCACCTACTTGGACCCCATCTGCAGGGAATTCCCGGCGCTGCACGTTTTTCGAGCCAGGCGTTTTCGCATCTCTTCGGGCCCGGGGGGGCCCTCGCAGATCGATGCGGCTCGAAGAAGGACGCAGGAGGACGGGGCCCGGGGCTCCCGGCGTGATTTTTACGATGTTGCATTTTTTTCGAGACGTCGAGGAGAGCGCGTGGGGAGGGAGAGGGGAGAGGGAGAGGTGGAGAGGGAGGGGAAGGGGGAGGGGGAGGGGGAGGGGGAGGGGGACGAGGAGGGGGGGGGAGGAGGAGGAGGAGGAGGAGGAGGAGGAGGAGGAGGAGGAGGAGGAGGCGGAGGAGGAGGGTAGGAGGCCTCTAGGAGCGGCAGCGGCGGCTGGACACCAAGATGCAGGGATAGGGCCGGGGCGGTGTCGGTGGGCTCGGGCCTTGCCCCCGCCTGGAGACCGAGGCCTGACGGTCAACCACGGGATGTGCGAACTGACAAGGAAAAACAAATAACCAGTTATGTTACATGATTATTTAAAATCAAGTAAGTGAGTTCAACTAGAAAAAATAATTCGGTGCACCTCCTCCTCCTCCTCCTCCTCCTCTCTCCTCCTCCTCCTCCTCCTCCTCCTCCTTCTCCTCCTCTCTCCTCCTCCCCTCTCCTCGGCCGCGGAGCGCCCTGTTCGCGCGGCGCGCTCCCTCGCCGCGGCGGGAGCACTGCCCTCCTCCAGCGGGCGC